TTTTTTCAAAGTAATTCTTGTAGTAATTGCACATGTTAACGGTTCCATCAAATTGTGGTTCTAACTAAGACACATGATTAGTAAGAGTATTTTAGAAAATATACTATATATTTATTATAAATAACTAACTTAACAAACTTTCTTAATTTACTCGAGTTGGTCAACTAACTCTTATATAAAGACATGAGATAGTATATGCATGTGTGTGTGTGTGACTACTCTGTATAAATTGAAATGAGGTGGTCATAACTCACAAACACTCCTCGCTGAAAATGTTCCTTCATGCTTTAGGTACAGCAGTCATCGTCACCATCAAAGTCAAGGGCGATTATCAAATTTTTCAAAGGATGCTTATCTTTTCTTTTCTTTTTCCTTTGTTCTATTTGTAATATTTTCTCCTTTTTTCTTTATATTTGTAAGACTTTTACTGTCATCCTATTTTTTTCTTGGGTTTTGATGTCTTGGCATTAGGACCTTAGGTGCTAGAAAGTCTTTTTTCTATTTGCATTTGTTTGTGGTAATATTTGATGTAACCATGCATTCTATTTCTCCGCCATATGTGAGGGCCATCACTAAAACTTGGAGATGCCGTCCTTTTTTAAAAAGCAAAGAAAAAAAAAAGAAAACTCTTAATGGTTTTTTAAATTCTTTTACCATGCCTGATTCCTTGATGGCTTGGAAATATTAGGAGAAGTTATTTTAAGTTCTCAATAATGTTTTTGTCGTGTCACATAAATATTAGAAATGAAGTGATGGCAAAAAAAAATATTAGAAATGAATTATCAATTTAAATATTTTTATTCAAATATCTTTTTTTGGAAAAAAAATGATAGTATTAGCATAACAGATATTTTATCTGTCAACAAGATTAAAAGATATTAACATCGGTTTCCCTTGCCAGGGCATAGGTTTCTCACTGCCTGCTAATCGTTTACTTTGCCATATGCTAATTGATTTGGAAGCCTTGATTTATTTGATTGATTTGTTTGACCATTGATTTGTTCAACTTGATTTGGTTGGACGAGTTGGTTCAGATTGGGGAATGGTTTTGATGGACTTCGCATGATGGCCATTCTTTCGTTCGTTGATTGAAGCGCGGTTTTATATGATCACATTTCATTTTCTTTTTAAGAAAAACCTACTGAATATATACTATCCAATTCACTAATTTAAAAAGATTAAAAAGATTAAAAAGATTGTTTAATTATATCATGTGTTATTTATAATTTTTATATTTAGATGATCATTAAATTATATATTAATATATAAGTCAGACAAATTAAATAGAGATAGTATATATTTATAGTCAAAGTCCAGTCATACGCTGGAGAAGGTATTGGTGCTGTACATGCTTTGCTTCTTTTTGTTATTTCTTAATCATATTCGAAATGTGTTGGTGAGTAAACTAGTAGGGTTTTGTAAATCTGATGTGTTAATTTTGACAGTCTAGTGCATCTAAAAGTAAAATCACTTCATTTCATTGCATTAATGAATTTCTTTTAGGCGAATACTACGCACTTTTCATAAGTGTAACATCTAGTTTTTCCTTCTCATTTAGAATAATTATATTATATAGCAATTAAATATAATAAAGGGTTAAGGTGCGCCCAGCACCCCGAATTATTTACTCAGGTGCGTCCAGTGGCCTAAAATAATTTTGGGTGCATCCAGTGTCCTAAACTAATTAAAATAGTGCGCCCATATCCCAGGCTAACAGAAAATTTAATTTAATTTTGAGTAAAAATAATACACATTGGATGCCCATGTGTCTACCATGTAGAATATCTGGAGTCAACTTTAAGCTGAGTCAGGAAAGTAACGGTTAAACATAACATTTCTGTTAGCTTGGGATATGGGTACACTATTTTAATTAGTTTAGGACACTGGATGCACCCAAAATTACTTTAGGCCACTGGACGCACCTAGATAAATAGTTCGGGGTGCTGGGCGCACCTTAACCCTATAATAAACTTGATCATGTTGACATACTTTAAAGAACAACTACTTCATAGAAATAAATTTCAAATTACTTAAAAAGTATCATAGCGTGAAATTTTATTAAATAGATTTGAATCACTCAATTGTCCTGATGTTGAAGTAAATATTATATTGTAACGTTATGAAGGCCATTTTATATTGACCAATGGTACACAATCTATCACAGACGGCGTTGAAGAGTCATCTTTTTCCTACAGGTTTTTTTTTTTTTTTGGTGAATATCTTTTTCTTACTCTTACTACTTTAATGGGCACAAGAACATAAAATAGTCATTTCACATTGGCCAATAGAGGAGCTTTGATCAAACAACATGATCAGCGGAGGATGTCAACTGCTGCTCATTCTTTTCATGGAAGAGTGAGATTTAAACTTTGACGAAGCAGCTGTAAGAATGCACTGTGATTCCATGAAGAAGGTGATTTTTTTTTTTTAATTAAAATCAAGTCCGGCTACCAAGTCAGCATGCCATGTCAGCAGAATAAATGGTGTTAATGACACATCAGCAAACTTAACATCATTAATTTCACCTCCACATCCTTATTGAACTACAATGACTGAAGTTATAAATAGATTAAAACTTAACAAACCAAAACTTATAATTTGAAACTTCATACCCGAAAACCAAAACTAAAACCAAAAAGAGGAGAAATTATAATGACCAAACATTACATTAACCTTTTTCCATTTTGTCACTCTCTATCCATCTTATTTCCCATTCAAATACAGTCATCACATTGATTGGGATCCAATTAAGATGCTCATAAAAAAAGATGGCCACCCAGGACATGTTCTGAACCATCTAGATCTGATTTGAATAGTTTAGATTTAATTTTTTTAATTTTTAAAAATAATTATTTTAATGGATATAAAATTTAAAACAAAATTAATTATTACTTTTTAAAAAATAATTTTCATTTAAAAATAATTAATTAGAAATATTAAATATCTCAATCATTCAAATTATATTTGGACAGTGCTTATAAAGAGTTGAGTAGGGAAGATAAGCACCCAAACTAAATCCAGACAAAAGAGATGAAAATAATCTACTAAAGGAAAAGGAAAAGAATAAAATGTTTCAAAATCGCCTATTTGTTCCATTTGGTTGAAAAAAAAATGAGAAGTTATTATAAGTTCTTAGCTTCTCATTAATGTTTTCCTTATGTCACATAAATATTAAAAAATAATTACAAATTTTTTACTCAGATGATTTTCATGAAAGAAACGAAAATATTAACGAACAAAAAATTTAAACTATCAATGTGAAATTTTGTTCCCGAAATTATAAAACGACAAGAATTGTAATATTTACCTTTTGAATTTCGAATTCTTAGCGTTGCATCCTAATGTAAGCTATAAATGTTCCGCTGGTCAGTCTAAACTAGGTTTGCTTCTATCAAATTAATTTTTTAAATTTTTACTTCAAGTGTTAAATTAAAATAATTTTATTTAAAATATTAAATAATTAAATAATTTTAAATTTTGAACAATCATTTACACCCGAAGGACGATTATTAGCATATGTTTGTTGACATCTATTACTATTTCAAATATCAGGTCCGGAAATAATAATTTTTAATATTATCATCATATTTGATTATTTAATTTTATCGTGTCTTTAGTTCCAGTATACTCTAATTCTATAAATTACGTGTGGGTTTTGTGCGTTCCCAAATGCTGTATAAAATGGGAAGAAAAATTCAACAGTTGGGTGTAGTGGGAGAGGCTAGTCCCTACAAGGTGACCAACTAAAGTTCAAATTTTTGCTGGAAAAGATGCTTACATTTAGTGCATGATAATGCCTCAAATAAAATTGTCTCTAATAGGAAAATAAATGTGTCACACAAAAAAAAAAAGGGAAAGAAAATTCTATAACATAATACCACCTTTGGTGCTTAAAATATGATCTAAATAACTAATTTGTAAATATTTAAAAAAAATAATTAAATTAGTTATTTGTAATAAATATATTTTTTTTAAATACTGTTATTAATCATGTATATTAGAATGAAAATCCTTTACCATATGCAGTCACTTGGAAAAAAATGAATAACTATAAGAGACAAAATGAATTGATTTCTTACATTTAAAATCAAATTAAACATCTAATTGGAGTATATATTCGGGGTGGGAGGTAGCATATTACTTTCTCATCGTAAGCCATATCTTTCACAGTGACTTTGTTCACAGGATTTGAGTTTACTTTATCTACTAAATTTATAATTTTTTTTAATTTTTTTTCTCATTAATTATGCATATTTAAAAGATTTTTTCACCATGAGAGTAACTTCACAAATTAATAAAGGGGTCCTTTAAAAAATGAACAGAAATAATTTTTATAAATAATTAACTTAATTAATTATTAAATTACTGTATGTCCTTTTTTTTTTGCCAACATATTAAGTTATCATATGTGTTTCATACGTTTCTCATCTTTAATGTAAGAGGCTAAGAGCTATTAAACTAATTTGGTTATATTAAGAAAGTTAAATAACCTAATTAATTATAACAAATATGTAACTAACAAATTATTAATTAAAATAGTAAGACCTCATAAAAAGAAGAACGCAAGTTTAAATTTCGAGACACCTTAAGTTATAAAAAAATTATAAATATATAACATTGAATTCTATATATTAATTTATACATGTAGAAGACAAAAAGAAAATTAATATTTAAGAGCAGAACTAACTCAACACCCCAAACTAGTGGGGAAAAAAAAAAAGAAAAAGAAAAACCAAACTAGTTGTCATGTGTGTAGTAACGGTTATAAATGGGTGGAATTTCCCGCAATGCCATCTGACGTTGTGAGGATAAAACGGGCGCCCTGCGTTGGACCCATGAACGACCGTATGACGTTGTGTGGACCGTGGATGAAGCAATTTGTTTATGTATCGTCAATCTTTAGATAAGGCGGCTCCATAATCACACTCCGTTTTAGTCAAATTTCAGCCACTCTCTGTCTTGTTCCTTATATATATTATTCCTTACCCGAGAGACACAGCCCATGTGGCACTCACCAGTCCCGGAGACGAAGACGTTGTGCCCACGGAATCCTGGAAGCTTTTGGTTCAAGGCTGCTTCTTCTTCTTCTGATGCTGTTTTTACGCAGCCACACAGCAAAGCTTGAGGAACAAATATGGCGACGAAGCTCACCACTTGCTTTCTTTGCTGCAATTTAAGTCACCTCAGCTGTAATCACTCTAATGCAGTTCGCTTTTCCTTGCCGTCGCATCGGTTTCTCACTGCTTCCTGTAGAATGCGACAGCGTAATCTCAGGTGCTACTAATAGTTTGCTTTACCACATGTTAGTTGATTCGGAAGCGTTGATTTGTTTGATTAGTTTTCTTGGCCATTAATTCGTTCAACTTGATTTCGTTTGGATTGGGAAATGGTTTTGTTGGATTTCGCATAATGTTTTTGTTGTCATTCTTTCGTTCATTGATTGAAGCGTGATTCATTTTCACTATTCATGAGAAAACGAGATTCATTGCTGTTGTCTATGCTTTGCCTCTTTTTGTTATTTCTTAATCATATTCGGAATGAGTTGGTAAAAGAACTATTAGGGTTTTGTGAATCTAATGTGTTAATTTTGAGACTCTAACGGAGCTAAAAGTAAAACAACTTAATTTCATTGCGTTAATGAATTTATTTTAGGCAATGCTACGTATTGTTCATGAAATGTAACATCTCGTTTTCCTTGCACTTAGTGTAACTGTAATCTAGTGGTCAATGGAATTGAATGTCAACCGAATTAAAAGAACTAGTTATCTGTATTTGGTTAAATTTTTTTTTGTTTCTACTTCTATAATGCCTGCTATACTTTGCTAGCTGGTAATTTTGTATATTTGGTAGTTAGCATGCACGAACTCATACAACTGTTCATAGTTCCCAGCACAAAAAGCAACAGATCAAGAAAGCTTCTCATCAACCCCCTCCCACTGAGGGAGATCTCCATCCAAGTGAAGATGAGGACTCTGAGCTTAGAAAGGTTTCTTTGGATGGCATACCAAATTTGAACGAGGATATCCTAGACGCTGACACTGATACGGCTAGTGACAGTGGAGATCATATCGAGTATATTGACGTGGAGAATTTGAATAATCCTGTTGTACTAGCTGAACCAGCACCTTTGGTATCTACTTCAACTAGACATGTAGCTTGAAATTGTGGATTTATTCCTTCTGACATCTGCTTTGCAATTCTGTCTGTTTTATTCAATTATTTTCTGTTTGGATGTTGGTCTGTTCACATTCACACATCTATGGACCACCTACTTAGATATTTCATAGTTAATCATTCTACATCATGGATCTCTCTTTGAAATGTCGTGAGAAAGAGGAAGCTAAAAGAATATAACAATGGTTTCTGTTGCCATATATGCAGAAGTAATTTATTTTCTATTGAGAAGTATGCCATGAAGTACATTCCTACATATTGGTTTATCTGTAATTGATATTTGGTGACATGTACTGAATATTATTTACTTTGTTTGTATTCATCTATGTTGAAATTTAAGGTTCACAAATTGTCGGATGTGATTTACTTAGGAATTTTCAATAGTGGTATTAAATCTTGATACATGTTATTATTTGGGGTTGTTTTCAGATTCCAGTAGTCTTAGTTTAGTTTCTTTACAATTTATTGTTTTAAGATTTAGTTTCTTTACAATTTATTGTTTTAAGAATCTTATACAATAGGCCTAGTTATCATTTGTTTTTGGACATATTGGTATTGAATCAAGTTTTATTTGCAATCTTTCTGTCTCACTACCGATGTCAAAATTTCAAACATGAGTCCTTTATTGTTCTTCAACACTGGGTGGAATTTTGGTGCGTGATCTTTTCAGTGCAAGAGTCTGGACAAATAGTTACCGTCCCATGTATAACCTTACTTGGCTATGACAATGATAGATATTAAAAATTATGCTGTTATTACCCTAAACTAAGGTCAACCTTGCATTGCAAAGGGAAATTCTAAATTCTTTAAATCCACGCAAAAGTTTGAAAGAGGAAATCAGTTCTTCCCACCAAAGAAGAAGAAGAAGAAGAAGAAGAAGAAAGAGATCAACAGTCATGTCAATAAATAGTAAAGTAACAGTGTTCACACCTTTTACTTTTATATAATATATGGATGATTTTGATTACTTCACTTTGAAACAGGCTGAGCAGTTGCCAGGTAGTCAAGTCAAGGATTTGTTAGGCTTGATAAGAAGTGCAGAGAGAAGTAAGATGCCTTTTTGAAGCCCTTACGATTTTCCCTCATCTCCATATTTACAGTATAATGGCTTGTTACCTTTTGTTGAGAAGTATAAGTTCTTGTGGCAGACATCAATCTTTTAAACCAAGCCAGAGTTCATGCAATTGGAGACCTTGAAAAGGTTCTATCTGAGAAGGAAGCATTGCAAGGAGAAATGAACTTGTTGGAGATGAGGTTGGCGGAGACTGATGCACGGATTAAAGTTGCCACCCAGGAGAAGATACGTGTGGAATACCTGGAGAACCAGTTAGAGAAGCTAGGTAACGAGATGACTCGCAAGGGAATTACTGAAGGAAGAGGCACGGAATTGCATGATTCACAGTACTCTCTGACCCTGGCTGATACAATTCATTCTCTTACTGAGGAGCTTAGCTCATTGAGAGCAGAAAATGCCTCACTAAAGAATGTCATTGAATCACTGAAAGAAGAGCTTAATGATGTCAAGAATACAGGTGAACGTTTAGTAATGTTGGAAAAGGAACGCACAACTTTGGAATCTGCTGTAAAAAACTTGGAAGCAAGATTGTCAGTTTCTCAAGAAGATGTATCAAAACTATCCACCCTAAGAGTTGAATGCAAGAATTTATCAGAAAAAGTTGAAAATTTGCAATCGTTACTTGATAAGGCAACAAGGCAAGCTGATCAAGCTACAATAGTTTTGCAAGAAAATCAGGACTTGCAAAGAAAGGTAGATAAACTGGAACAATCCCTTGAAGAAGCTAGTGTTTATAAGCTGTCATCAGATAAATTACAAAAATATAATGAACTAATGCAACAAAAGATAAAGCTGTTGGAAGATCATATTCAAAAGTCAGATGAAGAGCTGCAGTCTTATGTTCAGTTGTATCATGAGTCAGTGATGGAATTTCAAGACACAGTTAATACTCTAAAAGAAGAAAGCAAGAGAAGAGCACTAAATGAACCAGTGGAAGATATGCCATTGGAATTTTGGAGTCACTTGTTGCTTAAAATTGATGGTTGGTCCCTTGAAAAGAAAATTTCAACAGATGATGCTATGTTATTAAGAGAAAAGGTGTGGAAGAGAGATAGGGGTATTCGGGATACCTACATGGCTTGTAAAGAGCAGAGTGAGCAGGAGGTTATTTCTGCATTTCTTAGGCTTACATCTTCTGCAACAAGGTATTAATTCTTAAATAGTAAATTGTAGCAAATGCATCTTCACTTGTCTTATGCATGCCTTATTTTTCTTCTTTAGTTCAGGATTATATGTGATTCAGATTGCAGTAGAGATGGCACCAGTAGCTAAGGTGAACTCATCATCTTTCTTTTTGTTTTTCTCAATAGAATTTTCTGTTAGCACAAAACATGTTGAGCTATAAAATGAAAGACTCTGGATAGTTTACATATAGTCTCTAGCATATTTGCAGGGCTTTCCTCAATGCTAAATATCTCTAAAAAGCTTTATAACAATCTCTAGCAATGTATATGGATCTTGTTAATATTTAAATTGTTATCATGTGGCATCCTGCTTACTAAGATGGATGCTGTTTAATGATGTTCAGGCAAACAAATTCGATGTATTCTGTCTTCCTCTTATTTTGGATTTAAGACTCTTCTTTGTTTCATCTCTTTCATGTTTGAAACAAACTTGTCAGATTATGTTAAAAAAAGACCAGTTTATTAATGTTGGTCCTACTGGTATAAATTTTATGCTTAGCTTTTATGCTGCTGTGTCTTCCTTGTTGTTTTTCTCATGTTCAAAAATCACTTGGCAGACAATTATGTAAAGCTATCTTTTGTTTTATTGTGCTTGTGTAGCAGTTTCAGGTCCGTCAGTTTGCAGTTTGCTTATCATTTTCATACCTATTCAGATTAGACAATGTTCATAATCACTTCTCCTTAGCAGTTGTTTTTGTTTTCCTACCCTAGTTTTCTGAAATTACTTTGATCACAACCAGCTTAGATATCATCATTTTTGGTCCATAGCCTGTTCGCCGAAATCAATTAGTCAAGGTCATCTGGTGCTTTGTAGTGGGGAAAATATAAAGTGATTATCTTTCTAGGTTTCTTGTTTAGCTAAGTTTAATGCACAAAAAGTACTATTAATAGTACAATTAGTATTCCTACAGCTTATATGGTAGCGGTTGTGGACATAAGGTGTTGAAAAACTATCAATAAGTATATAAAATCTAAATCAAGTTTGCAATATATTTACTATATGCATTGGATTGCATGTTTTTGTCTTATTATTATGCATTTAATCCACAGAAGTAATCTAATTTTTGAATATATCTCAACCATAATAGTTTTCAGCTATAGTCCATGTCATCAGCCATTGATTTAGTTCCATTCATAGTGCTTAAAGTCAGGAGGATCCACTAGGATTGGCCTAATTCTCTGGTATTTGGGACTACTGATAATCTAATCTAAACAGGTAGAATGCAGAGGCTGCAATTCAATTCTTCTATTTTTTTTTCCTTTTTTTCTTTTTAATGCTTGCTCATGTGGGTGCCCTCTGCATTTTTTGTTAGCTGTGGTTTTATCATACCTGTATCTGCTTGTCAGCTTGGAGAAAGTGTTCTTCTAGATACTAGCTTTGCATTGATGGAAAATGCGATTGTGATTTGAAACATCATTCATGATGATGGCAACGTAGGATTGTAGTTTCCAAATTATATATTCCGCGAGAATTATCATGGTTTCACTTTGCTTGCATGATGTTTGTTAGACTTAGATACCTACTTACATGTAAATGAAAAATGAAGATCTCCATTATGACCTAGCAAACATGAGAATCTTGAATTTTTCATTTGTCAGATACCCAAACTTCTCATTAGTAGAGATTGCCGGATACTCCTTCTGGTTCTAAGTATAGAAGCTAGTTATCTAATTCAAATCGATTAAAAAAATTAGATAAGTTAGTTTTCTATTAAAAAAATTGTGTTGATTTTCTGAAAATACCCCTTCTTTTAATCATTTACATTGGAGTATCATCAATGTAACTTATAAATCATACAAGAACCTAATTATAGGGATGGCTTGGGAATATAGGAGACAAAAGAGATTTGGGTCTTACATTGAGAACCAAAACAATCCCCCCAACAACAACTAGCTCCTATATTTAGGACCAAAGGTATTGGTAATCTAATTGCAAGGGTATTTCATCAATCCTATCCAGAAAGGATGGCTGATCAATTGGAAGAATCTGTTGAAGAAGCTGACAGATTCTGTTACTGCTTGGACTCTGGGAAGGGATGTTTCATTTTTCTCTGACGCTTTTCCCTTAAACTCATGTAATTTATACGTGAGGTCTCTGTTGTCTGATTCTTACTCTAGACCTTTTAAACTTACCCCAGGATGTCATTCTCTGCTTTCAGTTGCAATATTTTTCACCCATATTTACTCATAATTAAGTTTAGTTTTTTTGGTTATAGGTTGGTGGTTTGGGGGATGTTGTCTGTGGTCTCAGTAAAGCCTTGCAGAAGAAAGGACACCTTGTTGAAATTGTTCTTCCCAAATATGATTGCATGCAGTATGAACACATCCAAGGGCTAAGGGTATGATATTCTATTGAGAAATGAATTTGTCTAGTTGATAGAACCTAAGTGTCTTGAACTATTCATAATAATTTGATTACTTTTGCAGGCTTTAGATGTAGAGATAGAATCATACTTTGATGGTCAACTATTTAAAAATAAAATCTGGGTTGGCACTATTGAAGGTCGGTCATTAAATTTTCCATTTTAATTGATTTTTTAAATCTTGGGTGTAACCTAATTCTGTCTATGCAGGGCTTCCTGTTTATTTCATTGAACCCCATCATCCTAAAAAGTTCTTTTGGAGAGGCACATTTTACGGAGAGCATGATGATTTCAAACGCTTTTCATTTTTTAGCCGTGCAGCTCTTGAATTTCTCCTTCGTGCCGGCAAGAAACCTGACATTATTCATTGCCATGATTGGCAAACAGCTTTTGTAGTATGTTCTGTCATCTTTTTAGAGTGAGCTTGTTCTTTCTTTGGGTTTCTTATATGACACTGGATATTTTTTTGGCTAGGCTCCTTTATATTGGGATCTTTACGCTCCTAGGGGTTTAAATTCAGCCAGAATATGTTTTACATGCCACAACTTTGAGTATCAAGGCACTGCACCTGCTTCAGAATTGGGATCATGTGGTCTAGATGTTGACAATCTAAACCGACCAGACAGAATGCAGGACAACTCAGCGCCTGATAGAGTCAATGCAGTCAAGGTACAACAATAAAGAACTTTTCTAGAATCATGATTCATGTGCTAGAATAAATTACAACTTTACATTCCAATTGTCAGGGGGGAGTTGTTTTCTCTAACATTGTGACAACAGTGTCGCCTACCTATGCCCAAGAGGTGCGAACTGCAGAGGTATGGCTTTTAACTCAATTTTGTGGATATAATGGAGTTTTGCTTTATCAAAATATCAATTTTTTTTACCCAAATAGTGAGGCGAGGACAAGCTCCGACAAGTGTGGATTGAAATAAACGAGAAAGCCTTGGTCTTATCTTGTGAACAAATGCTTTAAAAAAGAGCAAATAGATACTGTAAAGGACCCCAAAAATTGATTCCTAAATAACAAAAGACATCAGGAAATAACTACTATTATCTCATTACAATGGTGTTCTAGTCTCATTCTATCATTCTGTTGGGGCCACCTGTGTTTGAGATGCCTATCTGTGTGTGTGTGTGTGTGTGATTTTGACACATGTTTGGAGTGTCAGTTTCTGACATGCCAACACTACTGAAATTAATCACACACATGTTTGGAGTGTCAGTTTCTGACATGCCAACAATACTGAAATTAGTTATGTCCCTGCTTTATAGCATATAAATTGTCAACTGTTCTTTAAGCTCGAATGGTTTGTAAAGAGTCATGCAGTTTTCCTAAGATGTTCTTTTGGATGATCAGGCTTCTTCTTGTTCTTTTGGATGATATTCTTCTATGCAATGCAGGGAGGACGAGGTCTCCATTCAACCCTTAATTTTCACTCCAAGAAGTTCATTGGTCTCTTAAATGGTATCGACACTGATGCGTGGAACCCTGCAACTGACACATTTCTTGAAGTCCAGTATAATGCAAATGATCTTCAAGGGAAAGCAGAGAATAAGGAAGCCATAAGAAGGAAACTGGGTCTTTCTTCTGCGGATGCTCGGAGGCCATTGGTAACTTTTAATTTTAATTTCATGGAGATGTTGTTCGATGCAGTCAGTTTCTGTTTTGAAATAATTGCTATTTTCTATCAATTAGAATATCTCAGTCATTCAAATTTATGCTATCCTGATTTCTGTCAATGTTCGGCTTATGATGCAATCTCTTTTTGATATTGATTTGAAGTGCCAGTCCTGATTCTTACTTATGTGCCCCCTATACAATAATGATGTTCAGTGTGAAACAACTTTACGTTATCTGGTATGAATCGTTCCTTCTGGACATGCTTTGATGCTTAATTTAAAAAAAAAGAAAATCGTATTTTATAGGTGGGCTGCATAACAAGATTGGTGCCACAGAAAGGTGTCCATCTGATTAGACATGCAATATATCGAACGTTGGAGCTGAGAGGACAGTTTCTTCTTCTTGGTTCAAGTCCAGTCCCGCATATTCAGGTTTTAGTTGCTTCCCTTGTACCTGAAGTTAGTGGGATGCTGTTTCTTTGTACACGGATGAAAGTCACAGAACATATCACGGAAAGAAACTTTTTTAAAACCAAAAAAAAAAAGGTCACATCAACTTAAAAATGAGGTGAAGGTCATGGAAAAATAATTTTTAATATAGTCATATGTTTGATTTAGTTCTTAAATGAAAGCACTAACATAGAAAACTGCCGAAAAAGATTAGGCGAGGCGTTGTCTCTATCTTGTCTAATTGTAGACTTGCAATTATATCGTTTCTATCAAGTGATTAACACTTTTCTCTTCTCTAGAGAGAGTTTGAGGGCATTGCCAACCAGTTTCAGAATCATGACCAGATACGGTTGATATTGAAGTATGATGAGTCTCTCTCGCATGCCATTTATGCTGCATCTGACATGTTCATCATTCCATCAATCTTTGAACCTTGTGGGCTAACACAGGTAAAGTCTAAACGATTGTTTTTGCAATTTGGGGAAAATTGTGTTTTTGCTTCATTATTTTCACATTCTAGAATATATATATATATATATATATATATATGACAGGCAGATTTTTGCTTCATTATGTTCATGATATTTCTTTTTTCATGATAAGTATTGTTTTTACGTGCCTATGAAAAGAAAATTATCTTGATAATAGAGGGTTGTATGTCCACTTGATTTAACTGATTCTGTAATCAGACGCAATCCAACTCGCATGTGTGGCAAAATTCGTTTCTTCTGCTTTCCTGACAAAGTAAGAAAAAAAAGGTCATTTGAGATGGTCATGGAGGCAGATAATGTGAACAAAAAGGAAGGCATTCATATTTGTTAAGCACGTTCTTAAAGTGTTAAAGAGAGCAAGATAGAGATGCAGAAAGAAAGGTTATGGATGGAGGGGGGTAGTGGGAGTTGATTTCGACCCCCAAGTCTATGAAAGTGAGGCTAATTGGTTCAAGGGCTTATCTAAGAGTTTCATTTTTCACGGTATAAGTTATGGAACACGAATTGGTGTGGTATGGCGGTAACAACAGTGATGACTAACACTAACATGATAGTATTAGCAGTGCAAAACAAGGGCAGCAGGGCATGAGGTCAGTGACGTGGGGCTGCATAGCAATGAGGGGTCAAAATTGACTTGTTTGCAACTTTGGCATAATCTCTTCTATAACATTTTACTTTCCTTCAGTGATTCTGCGTCAGTTCCTCACAATGAAAAAGGAGGAAACTGTGTTCTTTAAGACGATATCCAAAATAAGACCAAGGCCATAAAGATGTTAAAATATCATGTCCTTGCTTGTTAACTGAAACCTTAGGGATGTACGGACAACGTAGCCGCTATTAACAAGATATTTTCCTGAATGCATATCTCAGTACAAAACATGTTTTATTTTAGCTTGTTGACTCTTTCCCTAGTCTCCTCTTTTTCAACCTGTGCCCAGTTTCCTCTTATTTGCAGATGATATCAATGAGATATGGTGCCATCCCCATTGCCAGAAAAACTGGTGGTCTAAATGACAGGTTAGTACATTCTACATGATTTCACCACATGAAAATGTGATTCTTCTTTTATGAAAAGTAATTAAATTTTGTATCTTGCAGTGTTTTTGATGTTGATGATGACACAATACCTTCCCAGTTCCGAAATGGATTTACATTTTTGAATGCTGATGAGCAGGTATGTTAGTGAAATGACTGAAATGACTTGTCTCATAATTAGAGCTGCCCTATGTGCTCTACTATCATGCATAATAAAACTGATGTATCTATACTTCAATGTTTAATATGGTACCTATAGTTTTTTCTCTCTATTAAATTCCTTGATTATGACAATGTTATCACTAGTTAGTCTCTGTACAAGGGCTAACAGGGCCAACAGAGCCAACTTATAAGGTCGACGGTGCTAACAGAGTAAAATTAAAAGATTTAATAAAGAAAGAAGATAATATAGGTGCCAAGTTAAAAATGAAGATAAAGTATAGATACCTCCAAAATGATTTCCTCTAAAATCAGTCATGACAAGCTATGTCACACTGGTTCTTTCATTAAAGGATATGTTTGGATTAAAAACTAGGGGTAAAGGTTAAATTAAATATATCCTCTTGGATTCTCCTCAATTCGAACATGGCCTGTTTCACTTCCTAGCTTGCATGCCTCACCTTCCAAGCTTCCAGCATTATTGTCCACTTGAGAAACCTTAATTTGCCATCAGTTTTGATATGATCTAATGGGACAAATGTGACAGGGATTAAACGGTGCATTGGAACGCGCATTTGACCTCTACAGGAACAATCCTGAGAGTTGGCAGAAGCTTGTTCAGAAGGACATGAACATAGACTTCAGCTGGGATTCTTCAGCTGCTCAATATGAGGAACTCTACTTAAAGGCTGTAGCTAGAGCAAGGGCAGCAGCAAAACGTGCTTAAACTAATCTCTTATTCATTCTCACTTCTGAAGCAAAAACTGGCTGTAAGTTTCAAATCTTTTATATATAGTGATGAAATCTCAGATTTAATTGCTTGATGGTTGCTAAATAATGAAAAGGATCTAGCCGATTGAGGACAATTGGCTTGGATGAACACGTTAGCTCGAGAATGTATATATTGAATGGGTCATGGTTGGGACATGTATAGCTGCTGAAACTGTGCTCGTCTGGTTCCTCGTTTTGCATTGGGCTGGGATCCTTTGGGTTGATCAATGAGCATCCTGTCATGATGAATACTACTAGATTGTGCTTTGAAGTCATGTACGCCTTGCAAGATTCTGACTTTTTTTTTTGCCCCCATTCTTTCTTTTTTGTTCTTCAACATTCGAGAGTGTATAAAAATTTCTACATGTAAAGCCTTACAACGAAATTAATAGAAAATATTTTCTGCTATAGCATGTTAGCACCGCCAGCGTATGATTTCGCCACTTGTTTTCGTTACTGCCGATTTCTTCCCCACTCCCACTATTGATTGGCTTGCACTATATTCTCTTTATGCCTACCATGTTTCTGTATGAAATAAAATTTAAATGGTTTAAATTTAATATGAATAGTTTAATTCTAAAAATTTTACTTAGTTTTTAGTTGAGTTTAGATATCACTTTTACAAATTTCAAAGATTATTAAAGAGAAAACATTTCTAATCTTTTTTTTATTAAAAAAAAAAAGGGCCTCTTATCAATTTTCACACGATAAAGGGTTCAAAAGCTTGCCCGCTATGCTATCTAAACTGGCGTTGAAGACAATATATTTGTTAAGGAATCTTCTCCCCAACCCCAACCCCAACCCCAACCCCAACCCCCCCAATTGGACATGCAACTCAGCCACCATGCCAGTTTAATATTTAATCAGGTATTTTTATTAACGGCCCTAGTATCGTATAAATTGCGGTGATGTGGTGATACAAGAATATGCACGGAAAATTTGAATATAAGCAATTGTAGAAATATTGTCAATACAATTGTCACCATTTATCAGAAAAAACTTCTATGCGATCCTAATTTCAAAAGAGAAAATATTACCATTGATCCTAAAAAAATAACAATTCATTTTGTCTCCCAATTTTTTATTTTTTTAAAACTTCTATTGATTTCACATAGGAAGTTTTCAATGAAGAAAATAAATAGTTTCTACCGATTAAAAGTGATACTTTAAGAAAAATACCACAATTTTTACACATAAATAATTTTTTAATCTCTACAAATTAGTTATCTAAACCCTACATCTAGAACAGGAGAGAGTATATTGCTTAAATCAATTAGCTCTCATTCGTACCAGACTAAAAGTAGAAGAGTCCAAGTAATTAGATCAATCAGTTCACATAAAATGGGCAGATTCGGGGGAACATTACGGCTCACAACTTATATCAAGGGCATTAACAGAATTCGAAGAGGACTACAATCACATCTCAGACCTAAACTGATGAAACAGAACATACAGGTGGCCGCAGAATCCTCGTTAAAATAGAGGAACAATGAGCCTTGAAGATGAGTGTAAAAACTAAAAGCAGTAACCAAGTAGTGATCTTCATTCAGGGTCAGGCGAACCACCAGGAACCAACTGTAATAAGCATGGTCAAAACGCATCGGCCTTGTCAACTAATACTCAATGAAATGTATGAAAATTGAAAAACAATTACTTGTTAGCAAAAAATAAGACTAAACGGCCTATGCCTCAATACCAATTAAGGACCTTAAATCTCTTTCAGAGACTGTTAAGTATAATTTACCGTTGCTGCCTAAAATTTCGATACATGCTCCCTAACATTACAACTGGGTCTTTCGAAATATCACACGAAGTAACAAATCAAAAACGCTCTTATAACATTGGGGAAAAAAAAAACATGTTATTAATTTTAGAGGAGCATGAATTGCAAGCGCAAAAAGCATTAGCGGAAACTTATTTTTATGGTAGTTAGAAGAGATTTTGCTTTTCATAATCTTTGACTGTCAATATTATGATTTATGCATTATGGATCCTTGAATGTCATTTTCACTCCCTAATACTCACAATGGCAATGTTGTTTCCATTGAGTAAAATCTGGTCCAGCTTTGTTATCCGCCTCCCTTCAGCAGTGATCTCACTGTCATATGAAACCAAAAAAGCTTATTATGTGCCTCATGCATCCACAATTGTATGCAGGAACGAACAAATAAATCAATAAAAAAGTAGGGCTAAAATAAGCCCTTGGTAAATCATGGGTAAATCAGAAGTTTCTCTAAAAGTACATTGCTGTAGCATCCAGTTAACCAGAAATGCAGCAAACTCACCACATAAGTCACAAACAAACTGTGACCAGACATTCAAATAACTTAAACAGTAAAAGGCTTACTGGGTAAGGGCAAGGAAAAGCTTGAAATTGAAAATTCTAACAGCAGTTACTTTTTATTAGTTTCCTTACAGGTAACCGTATATTCACAGGTTCCATAAGGAGACAACCAGATGCACAACATCCAGTAACAGAAGTACAGAACATCAAATAGGAATGACATAAAAGCATGTACAAAGACTTGGTGTTTCAGTGAAGCTCTTACTATTCAGTAACATCTTCAAGCACCATGTTGACATAGACATCAAAGCCTTTGAGAGTGCCAACAAGCTCCTTATCTCCTTTCATTATCACCCATAGTTTTGACCCTATACAGCGATCAATCAACTCTGTTTCCAGCATAAACATCGCATAAACAGAGTTTAATGCTTTAATGGGGCAAAAGAACAAAGCAGAGTTAGAGATAGCATGTAATCTGAAGAGTGCAAACCTGATGGGAGAAGCTGTGATGGGTTGTTGGCCATGGAAACTCAGTGGGTAATGTTCTCACAATCTGTGGAGACATACATGTTACCCGTTAATTTTCAATACCATAAAAATTACGAATGCAATGAAAACAAGTTTTCTAACAGAAATTCCACCAATGAGTAACAAGCTGGTCACTAATCAGTAGACATTATTACAAAGGGCAAAGAACCTAAAAGGAGTAAAAATGATGATATTGCTCAAATTCAGACCTCGAGCTTCAAAATAGTCCCCTGAATTATTATAGCTCCACCAACAAATGCAAGATAAAAGAAAAAAACCAGATAGTTATAATATACCGTCTGCTTGAAGTTAAAAAGCCAGATACTGAGATGTTTTGGGTTGATGCAACCAAGAAGCAAGCCAAGTTATAATTGTTTCACAACTAGAAACCAAGGAGAAAATCAGCCAAAGTCAAAATTATCCACGACGATGAACAATGAAAAGACCGAGTAACTAAACCTAGAAAAGTTCAGAAATTCAGGATGAAAAGATACAGACCTGGAAGAAATAAATGAACAAAAAACCGGGGAGGTGAAAATTAAAAAATTTATCCATCGACCCTATGAATGATAATTTCCGAATAATGGTTCAAGAAATAAGTCCCACTGATGCTTCAGAAAAGGAAATCGTCATTCTCCTACTCTCACCTCCCTCCGATAAAAACGAAACGAAAACTTCACGCGATTGCGAAGACATTGAGATTAAAATTATATCGAAAATTTTGCGGCATGGAGAAAATACAAGAGACAAAAACAGAAACGATGGAATTATGTTAACAGGAAGAATGAAAACGCCATGAACAAGTTGAAGTTACCTCCTGAGCTTCGCTGAGCGGGGAGTGAGCTTTCAAAGTCAATCCCGTGCCCTAAATACTCCTTTCTGTTTTCTTATTGTTTCTGTTTTTTTTAATTTCAATAATTTTTGCCTGGAAAATTACGGTGTCTATTTTATTTAAAGAAATGTTTGGAAACATCCAAATATACTTTTTAGAAACATTTTTCTATAAAATGAAATAAATTTCTCCACATATTTAATTAATGTACAGTAAAAATATTTTTAAAATTATAATTTTGATTCCATTCAAACACTTCCTAAAAGTTTTTTTTTTTCTAAAAATCTCACTTGCCCTAAAATACTTCTAACACTGAACTTTGGGCTTTAAACTTATGGGTTTGGCAAGAGCTATAGACCTTTTTAAAATTTTTAATATTTTCATCCATTTTCAAATATGGGGAGGAAAAAATTTCATGAAATTTTTAATTGAAATAATAAATATTAACAAACTAAAATGTGAAACTCAGAAAAAAAAAGAATAATATTATGAGTGTAACCGAGACAGCTCCTTTTCATGCATGGATGGCCCTTAGCAGACTCATGCTCATAAGAATTGGACTTAGTTTGGCCCTCATTTTAAACAAGCTTAAAATTCATGCCCAATTCATTTTACCGGCTTTACCTTCAACCATGTAGGTTTCTTTTTGGAGAAATTGCAAAAAAAGACCTTGAAATTGTAAAAACGCAGATAGGGACCCTTGACAACTTCACTTTGGGTTTTGACAAGAATAATATGCCCTGAAGTTGTCAAAACCCAAAGTGAAGTTGTCAAGGGTCCCTATCTGCGTTTTTGCAATTCCAAGGTCTTTTTTTGCAATTTTCCCTTTCTTTTTTTAGTTTAAAAAAAGGGCTCATTATATATTTATATTTTTAATATTTTGTATTCATTGATTAAATTTCTATGATAATTTTTATTAGAAAATAAATATTTTAAATAATCAATGTTATTTATTTTGGCCTCAAAGCTATAAATGTAATATTTTAAATAATCAATGTTATTTATTTTGGCCTCAAAGCTATAAATGTAATATATTCTTTTTGCCAACGGTATAGATTTAATAAATTGTAAGTTTATAAAATTTATTTTTTTGCTCAAAAAAAAAAGTTTATAAAATTTATTTGTACATCATTAAATATATTTTTAACACATATTATATAAATCATAAATGTAAAATTGTTTTTGTCAAAAATAAAAATGTTTTCAATTTTAATTTTGTAACTCAATTTCTTAATATGAAGAATATCAACAAAATAAATCTTTTTACAAGGCCTATAGTTTTTCAAGATATGGTGGAGTAGATTATAATTTTTTTGAGATAAAGTAGAATATAATTTTAAAATTACTAAGAAGATAGAAATGAAATAAACATAAGAGTTTGTAAAATTTTTAAGTAAAACAATTTAAAACTATATATATTATTAAAAAAATTGGTTGGTCTTTTTCATTTAAAAAAAAGAAAGCACTGGCCCAATGGTTATTTAATGCGCAACTAATAAACAGCAAACTACGCCTAATAAACACTAACAAAATTTACCAAATTTTATTCACCGGGAAAAAAATTTAGCTAATGCAGACTTGTTTGTTAAATATTTGAGAGTTAATACAACCTTTTGTCTTTCAAGTTTGACATTATTTTAGTTTTGGTCCCTTAAATTTTAAATTATAAGTTTTGATTTCTCAATTTTCCTTTTATTTATAATATTGGTCCCTATAATCTAATAAACACTTAAACTATTTTACCTCTTGAGGGATCAAAATTTATGATTTGAAATTTGATAGACTAAGACCAAGATAAGAAAAAACTTAAGAAACTAAAAGTTATATTAACCGTGTATATATTCATTCCCCCAAAAAATTTAAAACATCCTAGTTTTTGCCATAATGGTTAAGAAGAGCAATTTCACTATTAGCAAACAAATATGACTAGGTGTGTTTGGATGAAATCAAACTGTGGTTTGGAAAAGTGATTCTGGAGAATAGATTCTGGGAAGAATAGATTCTGGAAAGAATAGATTTTATGAAAAAGTGATTTTGAGAAGTGAGAGTGTTTGGATAGTTGTTATCAGAAGCACTTTTTATATATACAAATTACTAAAAAAAGAAATAAGTTAATATGATAATTACAGAAAAAATAGATTTTATGATATATTTTAATTTAGAGGAATAAAATTGTTAATAATATATTTTTTATTAACATAATTAATAATACATAAGATAATATAATTAATAATTAATTAATATGTATATATATATTTATAAAATATAAGATTAAATATGTTTATAAAAAAAATAACAAGATACATATTCTATAGGCTCTCACACTCTCTCTTTTTTCTTCAAAAGCAAAAAATTTTTGCTTTTTCCAAAACCATGGTTTTGGAGCCAAAACCATGGTTTGGCCCAAAACCATGGTTTTGGTTTTTGAGGGAGGTGTTTGGATAGCATTTTGTGCAAACCATGGTTTGCAAGTGCATCCAAACGGTGCCTAAACTAACAAATTGAATAAAATAATTTCAAAGGCCAACACACAGGATTCAGCGTCATTACACAAAATTCAATTCTTCTCTCACTCGTTCTCAACAAATTTACATCAAGACCCCCATGCTCATTCCAAACTCCTAACGGTATAAAAAAGCCCACAAGCCTTTTCTCTAAGCTCACTTTCCGGGGACAAAGTTTGTGGCATAAGCCCAAACATTGTTGTTGACCGGGTCGGCAAGGTGGTCTGCAAGGTTCTCCAATAGGCCCTTTCCGGTTACAACTTTTTTTTTTTGGTACATGAGAGAGGCCGAAGCCAAAAGCAAGAATTAAAACATAGGGGATTGTAATCCCATAGCTTCTTTCTGCACTAGGGCCCTCATGTGTTGAGGAGCCATGTCAAGCATAGAAGTAGTTGTAAACCCCCTCTTTGCCATGCTATCCGCAATCTTATTGCATTCTCTGTGGACAAAATTGACTTGCACCTGCCACGTTCTCGATAAATATCGTTTAATGTCCAATAAGGTATTACTCCGAGTAGCATTAGAGCTTTGCTTTCCAGTCTTGAACAAAAAATCCAAACATTGAGAACCTGGCCAATCTACTGTTTTTGATCTCCTTCACCTTCAACTCAGCAAAAGCCTCCGGGTCATCAGCCAAGCCCAATGGGTCAAAGCTTCTTCCAAGGTAGAGTGGGTCAGTAACCTCACCAAGAGGCCCACCAGCAATACGGTAACCCTCAACGGCTCCCATCAAGATCACTTGGCAGGCTCAGATGGCAAGGATACTCTGTACATGGATCAAGCTTGGGTTGCCCAAGTAGTCAAGTCCACCCTTGCTAAAGATTTGGGATCCAGCCTTGAACTATACAGTCTCACCGAACTTGACACCATTGCGGCCCAAGAGCTTAGGGAAGACACAACCCAAAGCTCCGAGCATGGCCCACCTAGTGTGGATTACTTCAAGCTCACTATTCCTAGCGAAGGTCTCTAGGTTAGTAGAGAGCCTAATAGTGTCCCAACCGTAGTCGTCAGGAAACTCACCGGTCAAGTCGGATGGGGGCTCACCGGAAAATGGGCCCAAGTACTTGACATGGTCTAGGCCATACCAGGGGCTTCCAGAGGTGGTGGGCTTGCTAACAGTTTTCCTTACAGAGTGTCGTCCAGTCTCGATGACAGAAGGGGAGACCTTCACTTTAGTGCCGGCAAAAGATGGAGATGAAAGAGCCATGGTGGAGGCAGCCATGGTTGAGATAGAGAATTGTTGAGGTGGGCTTTTATGTGGTGATGATTGAGACGGGGAAGAAATGAAGGAGATGGGTAGGCTTTTATATTGAATGAAGAGATGAGCCCCTTGTTAGAGCTGGTAATACAGGCTGGCAGTGCTAATACGGGCTGAAGTAGCCCGCACCTTGGTGGGTTGGAAAAATGCCAACTCAAACCCGTCGGCCTGCCTAAATTTTTTCTGAAAAAATTATTATTATTTGTATAGGTTTAGTTTAGTTTGAAATACTAAAATTGGATTTGGAGTTTTAAATTTGAATAGTGGGTTATAATAAAATAATGTGAGGATTAATTTATAATTTGAGAAGACATTTTAGAAAAAACTAACACATATTTTTTCTAAATAATTAATTTGACTATTTTTCTCATTCAAATTAATTAAGAAGATCTTTTATGTATATATTACATATGCACTTGCATGAATGAGGAGATGTCAATATGAAATTTGAGGGTCAAAATCCTCCAACTATGTTGTATAATATATTGAGAATTGTATAAAAATAAAAATTAAAAAAAGAAAAGAAAAGAAAAGAAAAGTAGGCTAGCCTGCTAATCCACGGGCTGGACTGCATCCTGGAGGCTTGGCATTTTGCCACCCCGCCTCTACTTCTTATCTCCTTTCTATCTAAATCTTCATTCTCATTGGATGTTCAAGATTTCCATGCTCCATCTCTCGGCCTGTCTGGCACTCTCTCGTCCACCAATGGCAAATAGTGTTAGCCAATGAGAGCAAGCCACGTGTTAGTTTGATTGTGGTACCATTTTTCTCCTCTCGTATTTGAAATCTAAATTATTCATGGTGATCGAAATGATAATTTCAGGGGGTGTTTGGATAGAAACCAAATCATGGTTTCAGAAGTGCTTTTACGGTTTATGAAGTAAATATATGGAGGAATTTACCTCGTTTTGCGGAAAAGTGCTTATGAAATCATGATTTGGAGGTTACCAAACATCTCATGTGATAGAACTCTATATTTATCATTTTAAAAATTGGTCAAAAACATAAAGAAGACGGTAAAAATTAAAAAACAAATACATATACATATACGCTCTCTCGAATTGGAGAAGAAGCAAATTTGATGGGTTGATTATTCTGAGAACCGAAGTGGAATAGAGAGTTCTAATTCGAATAGTTTGTCTGTGAGGGTGGACAAACTTTTAGCAAGTCAAATATTAAAATCTGAAAACAACCTGTGAAAGAAGCAAACTAAGTATTAATTGATGGTTACAGAAATGAAATGAAAGGTATTTTTTTTA